GCTTTGGTGGTTGGGGAATTGTGGGAGTTGAAGTCCACGCATCTGGAAGTTGCTAAGGTTGAGAAACACTGTCCTAGGTAGAACTTTCCTGTTTAACCCGAATCTATAAAAAGCCCTCTCTTCCTACGAACGCAAAGATGGGTGGCTCGCAGCCTGCTTCCTTTTTACTTGGCGAAGCAAAGCTAGCGCTACTACTCCAGCCCCCGACGCCTTTACCCAGCTTGTACCTCCCTTGCGAGGTCCCCGGGCAGCCGCCGCCTTCTTCCCCGCAGCGGCCGTCTGGCGCGCCTTGAATTTCTGCTTGCCCTGAGCCATCGATCCCCGCCAGCCGTCCACGCGACCCGTCCGCCCCCGAGAACGCAGCGGAGAAACAGAAGCGGAACTGCTCAGGTGCTGCTGGGATAGAAAGCGGCGGCGCCAAAGGGCTCAGCCGCCTAGGCGCAGCCACGAAGTTGGGAGCTAAAGCGACGCTTTTTGATCGGCGACTTGGCAGGGTGTCGATGCCGGCGGCGTCAAAAACAACCGCTGGTGGGCCGCAAAAACCCCTTGCTCATAGAACCCGCAAGCAGGATAGGAGGAGACTGTATGATTGCGGGAGACGTGATTTGCCTCTATTCCCAGAAGTGTTGCAGGAGATCTACCCCGTGGCTGGTAGCCACGTGACTACAGTAGTTACTTTAGTTTCCTTGGCCCTGTCACTTCTCCCGGAGAAATGGCAAGTTGGCTTGTTTTTTACATGAATTGAGTTCAATTGCTGGGAAGCCGCCTTGTTTTCTAGCTGGAAAGCCTTGTCACAGCACCACTGGATGTAAGCCCTTTGGCAAGGTTGAAATAATAAAGGGTCAACTCGAATTAGCATTGCTATTTATGGAAGAGCTTGTTTTCTGGTCTGACATGATGAACTCCATATCTGTCCTAGCTATCCTAATCTCCTTCCAGCAACAGTGCTACGTTGGTGCTTCAGTTCTCTCATCTTTTCTCCACAGTGCAGGACTGTTTGCTGATCAAGGAAACAAACACGCATCCCCTCAAATCAAGCAGGCAAAATCAATTCGATTTATACCCCTTCTGCAAAATGATTGAGTGGCTTATAATAAAGGCAGAATGCCACTGAGAGTGTAGGTGTGGCATTCCCAATGTTCCGAGTATAATGAAAAGGCCAAACACTTTTTTCCCTGACTTTATGAGAATTCAGGCTAATTGGGAACCAGAACAAGCACCAGCAGTTCCATTTAAAAAGATGCTATTGGTGTCTCCCAAAGCTTTAAGTGTCTGTTCCCAGTGGATGAGGCTCCTTTGCCGACCTCAAGATCCAATCCTGATGAATGACTCCTATGCCTATAACAATCTAGTGACTGAGCTTTTTGACAGAGTTTTCCTTCCTGCTGTCACAGAGTGTCTGCCAAGATCCAGTTATCAAACATAGGAAATATGTTGACTGACCATCAGACCAACCTAGTCAGAATTGCAGTGCTGGTTATATACAGTATGTGGCTCTTGCGAAGTCTTAACAGGGCCATCAGAATTGCTCCTTCAGATCAGGAGCCTGGCAGCCCCTTTTCTGACTTAACATATTTTATTAAAAGACATAAACTTTCATGAGTTGCAGTTCACTTCATCAGATTCAACTTATAGACTAACATGGCTCTCCTCCTACCATCTTTCAGATCTAAACTGTTGAATCTCTGGCTGAATTGCAAATGTTTTTAGATTAGCTGTAAGTGCTTATTTATGCTATTTTATTTTATGCTTATTTATTTAATGCTACCATCGGCCTCCTGGATTTTTTTTTTCCTTTTATTTTTGTAAATGTGTCCTGTTATAAATTTTAATT